TGGTTGGTTGGTTGGTTGGTTGGTTGGTTGGTTGGTTGGTTGGTTGGTTGGTTGGTTTTCGAGACATGATTTCTCTATATAACCTTGGCTGTCCTTGACTAGCTTGGTAGACCAGGCTGGCCTTGAACTTGGACCAGGTAAACCACCTGTCTCTGCCTCCCTAAGTGCTAGGATTAAAGGCATGTGCCACCACACCCGGCTGATATTTCAGAAAACTCGTACCATGGTTTTCTTATAAGTGTGCCATTTTAGGGAGCTGTCTAAGCTAACAGGGCAACATGTATATGCATTTCTCCCAGTAATATATTTCCCAAGAGAATGGGACATAAAAATTACCTTTTAAATGACTATTACATGCCTGTTTTAAGTAAAACTAATAGTGACTTTTTCTTTTTTAATCTCAGAGAAATCCAGGTGGTTATGTAAGCAGGAATCAAGATAACTAAAGATGTCTGACACTGAAGATTTATGTCACCACATGAAAGTAGTTGTTCGTGTGCGTCCTGAGAATACAAAAGAAAAGGCAGATGCATTCCGTAGAGTGGTGCATGTTGTGGATAAACATATACTCGTTTTTGATCCAAAACATGAAGAAGTCAGTTTTTTTCACAGAGCGAAAACTACAAATTTTGATATTACTAAAAAACAAAATAAAGATCTTAAGTTTGTTTTTGATGCTGTTTTTGATGAAACATCAACTCAAATGGAAGTTTTTGAACATACAACCAAGCCAATTCTTCATAGTTTTCTCAATGGATACAATTGCACAGGTACCTGTTTCAGTTTAAAAATCTAACTTTTCTATCTAGCTTCAGTTTTACTTTTGGAGGGATATGTACTTTGTTCATTTTGTAAATACAATCAAGTTCAAGGTACATGAATTCCAATAATTTTGAGATTTCTGTAGATTGAAATAGATTTCAGTAGATTCAGGCTTTCTTTAACACATAGTCATGATATATGGCTTATCTCTTAAGAAACTTTCTCTTCTCAGGGCATTACTGTTAGCCCTGTAAACACTTTTCAGTTTTATTAAGCCACATCTTATAATTGATGGCAGATTTCTCACCATTTGTACTCACAAATATATTCACTGTTGACCTCTCTTAACAGCCTGCAATGTCTGAAGACTTTCCTTAGTATAAAAGTATTAGAACTGCATGAAGCCTGAGAATTGTATGTAGTTTTTAGCAGATCTTCAGCTCAAGAAGCATTCCTTACGCCTTGGAGAGAAGCTTTAATTTGTCTTTCAGAAAACACCAGTTAATCTAGAGGTTATAGTAATAACATACTAGTATCTCATTTTTATAATTGTCAGTTTTTATGGTGTTTTCTACTGTACATTCCAAGCTAACTTGTTTCACTAAGACTGCCTTCCTCCTTTTTCTCACAGAAAATTATCACACTTGATTCTTGATCAAGAAAAAATGATGGTTAGTGGTCCAAACTGCAGATTCTCATTTGTATCCAGATATTCTTTTCCTCATTAAACTTCCTTTTGTCCTAGAGATTTTTTCTCCCTTTGGCTTAAAAAACAAAAGGAATCTCTTTTGATACTGTTTTCTCTCTGGCTTAATATATTTAGCTATTTTTAAACCTTCTTTTGCAAACTAAAGTAAAACACCAGCTTAATTTATTCCAAAAACTATTTTACCAGTATTTAACATATCTGATGACTTAATATGATGCTGAGTGTTTGCATTTGTAACTGGATTTCTTTTTCATTTGAAGAAATGCATGACTTCTATGTGATACTGGATAGAATTGTGGAAATAAGTAATTTACCAGAAATAACATGTAAGAATAATTTTATAAATCACCTTTGTGGAATTCATTCAGCTCAACAAGTGTATGTACGCTTTGCTTCATGTTATTTACTAAAGCACAGGATATGCTGCCTGCCTTGGTGGGTGCCCTGTGGTCATACTGTGGTTGAGGTGTGCCGATGGATATCGTATTCTGATAGCAAATAAGGAAGTAGATGTTTGTGCCTGTGAATATGTGGAAGGCACAAAATAACATTAGAGCTAAGTAGGAACAGGTGATATCTATTGGATGTAAAGTTTGTTTCTCTTCGGGATATCAGGTTAGAACTAGCCACTAGAGTGGATTTAGTAATGCTGTAACAATGAACATTGATCTCAACCCTTTTATTTAACATTCAGTACTTGCATATGGTGCCACTGGAGCTGGAAAGACTCACACAATGCTGGGATCAGCTGCTGAACCCGGGGTGATGTACCTAACAATGTTAGCCCTTTTCAAGTCCATGGATGAGATTAAAGAAGAGAAGGTGTGCAGCACTGCCGTTTCTTATCTGGAGGTAAGTTGGCGCTACCTTGCACATTAATCACTGTCCGAGAAAACTCAGTTACAAGGGTCCATTCAAATCATCTCCTACAGGAGTCTTCTTGTGTCTTCAGTCATTAAAATTTCTAACCATGCGTATCTTTTTTCATGCATCGTACTCTTATTTTAATCTAATTTCAAATTATAGAGACATTAAAAAATGGTGTATAGAAAAAACTTCTAGATAGCCTTCACTGAGGTGCCCTATATGTTAACATTTTTCATTTGCTGTTCTCTCTGTTGTGTATGCATTTATTCTTTAGTGCTTTACATGGTATAAATTTGTTGAACCAGGAAATGTTTTAAACAATCTCTGAATGTTTGTCTGAAATTATTCCAAATCATAAATTACATTCACTTGCATGCTTTTGGTCTCCTTTAATGAGAAATTTCTGTGTTTTCTTTGTAGTTTAAAAAACAAAGGATATCTTAAAAACCCTCGGTTCATTTTTGTCTCTAGTAGATTTTGTTTAAGTGCTGGAAGACACACCATAGAAGCAGTATTGAATTCTTACTACTTCATATCAGCTTACTTATATATTTGTTTAGTCTCATTATAGGCACTGTTAACTTTTATAAATTTCATTATTCTGGAATTTGCAAGATTTGCTGATTCATATATATGAGTAAATTATAGACGATGGTGCTTTTTAGACACCACCATTTCTCTTATGCTTATTTTTTAGTATTTATTGAAAGAAAGGCTTTTCCCTTTGTTAGAACAGCATAGGCTCATGGTTTAGGCACTTTCAGTTATTTGAGCAATTGGAACACTTTTGTTTTTAATTACTTTGTGTGTGTGTGTGTGTGTAAGTTTTGACATGGGAGTGGAAGTCTGAAAACATCTTTCAGAAGTTGGCTCTGTCTTAACACCTTGTTAAAGTAGGATCTCTCTTATTTCTTCCCCACTGAATACAGTAGGCTGTCTTGCCTGCAGGCTTCCAGGGCCTGCTTTTTATCTCCCCTAAGGAGTGCTGGCATTATACATGCATACCAATGCATCTGGAGCCTTTTATCATTAGGTTTTCATACAGTATACTTTATATTTCATATCCCACAACTCCTGCCAGATTCTCTCCTCTCCCGACCCACCCAAGTTCATGTTCTTTGTATCTTTCAAAAGAAAAGCCACTAAAAACATGGAGTACAAATTACTCCTGAGCATAGACCTGCTGTAGAGTGTGGTTGATATACCCAGTGTCACTCCATTGAAGGAAACTGATTTTCCTTTTCCCAGCAGCTATCATTTGTGGATAGCTTATTGTGTAGGGGTGGGCCTTTGTGCCCATATTCTCAGCTAAATTCTGAGATTTTATCTGCCCTGAGCTGTACAGGTCTTATGAATTGTGTCACGGTCTCTCTGAATTCATATGTACATCTGTCCTGTTGTGTCTACAAAATGTTGTTTCCTTAAGTTGTCCTCCACCTCTGGCTCTCACGGATGTTCCACCCCCTCTTCCCTGAGCTTTGAGAAGGGTAGGATACAGACGACCTATTTATGGTTGAGCAGGATCCAACTCAGGTCATCAAGCTTTCTTGTTGTGTACTTTGATCCATTTCAAACAATTCTTGGGACATCAAGACTTGCTTTGAACTTGTGATCCTTCTGCCTCAGCCTCCTATCTGTTGAGATGATAGAAATATGTCAGCACATTCACATTTGCGATCACTTTATATGCTCAAAATGTGAAGATCTGGTCAGCCAAAGTTTCTTTGTGTTCCCCCTGGTAGACAGTAAAAGATAGCCAAGCTTCAGTCCTTCCTCTGCTGTTAATTTTGTAGACATGGAATAATCCCTCAGGGTCTTAGTCACTCCACAATTCAGAAGAGAGGGACTATCACTGTTGTACGTTAAACTGGAACTGAAGGATAGTGACATAAATATATCTGTTTCTGACTGGGTTTTCTTTAACATTTATTCCCTAAAATTGGTGCTTTTTCCAGATGTAAGAAAGCTGGCTTATCTTTATCTTGTTAGAGTTATTAAATCATGAATTACTGGGTGAGAATATAGTTATTCCAACTTTTTTTTTTTCTTTTTCTTTTGTCTGTTTTTGGTTTTATCCAGACAGGGTTTCTTTGTGTGACCCGGGCTATCCTGGACTCACTTGAAAGACCAGGCTGGCCTCAAATCACGGTAGTCTGCCTGCCTCTGCCTCCCTGAATGCTGAGATTGAAGGTGTGCACCACCATGTCCAGCTTCTAGCCTTAATTTTCAGGTGTAAACAAAAGTGATCAAAATCTGTTCTGTGGCTGTCAACCTTCAGTCAAAACTTTGTGTGTGAGAGCATCACTTATTTTGATATCACTGTTAATATGCTTCTTTTTATTTTAAGGTGTATAATGAACAGATTCGTGACCTCTTGACAAATTCAGGACCACTTGCTGTCAGGGAAGACACGCAAAAAGGAGTGGTTGTGCAGGGTCTCACTTTACACCAGGTATGCTTATAGGTGTCTTTTCTTTCTGTGGAACAGGAAAGGTGCAGGTTAAGCTCACCAGCCATTAGTTTGAAACCACTGTGTTTGAAAAAGACTAAAGTTTTAGACTAAAGTGAATTACAAGGGATCTAAAGCCAGAGTGACTGTCCTGGATCACAAAGATACTAGCACTCTAGAGATCACAGAATTGAGGATAGCCTCATTCTACTTCCTCTCATTGAATGTACTTGATACATCTTAAGAAACAATTGAGGGATATTTTTCCCATTAAAAATCTCACTGAAATTTTATTTTTCTGTTAAATGCATTTATATATTTGTCTCAGAGATTGGATTTTACCTCTTACCCCTTAATATAGCACCAAGTTCTAAACAGATAGTACATTGTCAATATTTAATAGGAATAAATTCATAGAAAATATATCTTTTACCTTTAAAACTATCATTTGTTGAGTAAGCTTACTGAGGGTCTGGGATTTACCTTAATGGTTGAACACTTTGCTAGTGTTAACGGGCCTTGGGTTTTATTTCTCCAGCAGTAAATAAGTAAAAGTTAGTTAAATTTTAGAGATGGATTACTAAATATTTATTTTCTATTTAAACTCCTAGCCTAAGTCCTCAGAGGAAATATTACAGCTACTAGACAATGGAAACAAAAACAGGACACAGCATCCCACTGACATGAATGCTACATCTTCTCGTTCTCATGCTGTTTTCCAGGTAAAAGACCTTCAGGCTAGTACTCAAGTTGACATTTAAAATAAAGCCACGCTGATGAATAATTTTTATATGTGGCAACAAAATCTCATCTATAGACATCTGTGTTCCTTAGCACATCCGTTGCTTTGCAACAGTGTTTGCTGGTTTGCTTTGTTTCAAGACATAATCTTACTAAGTTGACTAGGTTGACTTTGATGTCGTTGAGTAGCAGTGGCCAACCCTGACTTTTGTTCTTTTTACCAGACTCCTGAGTAGCTGGGATTACAGGCACTATGACACCTTGCCCACTAAAGCTAAAGTCCTTAGCATGCAGAAAATATTCCACATAGTGCTAAAATGCCGCCCGAGTACATTTGCTCTTGAAAGTACTTCAACATCAAGAACATTTAGAATTGAGATAACTTCTATCACATACATGAGGTTTTACTTTTTATAACTTAACAGAATTCCTTGAACATAGGCATCATATTAAATAAGAGGTAGTAAAGTGGAAATGGAAGATATTGACTATGTAGCCAACTGCATTCCTTAAGAATGATAGCTGACACAATACTCTATTGGAGAAAATGTTCACAAAGATCCAAAACACAGATACCAGAATTTATTGTTTGTAGTTTCTACTTTTCTTTTTATCCAAATGCTTATTTATGTAAAACTTTACTTTAGATAATGCTGTGTGAAATTTATTTTTCAACATTAAAAAAAATGTTACATTTATCTGTGTGTTTATGTGTAGGCATATATTTGTCATGACAAAATTCTTTGGGGAACTGATACTCTCCTTCTACCATGGATGAGTCTGGGACCTCTAACTAAATCGTCAAGCTCAGCAGCAAGCTCTTTGACCATCTCACTAGCCTGTGAAATTCATCTTATCAAAAAGCAATTGTTATATTTGAAAGTATTTTTATCTATAGTAGTTAAACCTTTCAGATAGTGTCTATTCAGTAGTTTCATTGATCTTATTTCTTCCAGTGACATTTTTCTTTATCATTAGTCTTACCATTAGATAAATATTTATGAGAGTGGGATTTCTCTAAAATGTATTTAGATCTTACCTATGTCTTCATCTCTCCCACCTATCTTGTTTCAGTTAAAGTCTGCAAAGCAACCTAAGATGGTTAAATAAGTGGCTTAGGAGGTAGACAAGTTGGTAGAATGCTTATCTGATATACATGAAGTCCTAAGTTAAATTTCTGCCACCAATTAAACTGGACACTGTCTCAGACCTATAATTCTGGTACTCCAGAGGAAGAGGGAGCAGTTCTGAAGTTCAAGGTCATAGCCTTTTACTAGTAAGCTCATAGCCACATGACCACCTGTCTCAAGAAAAGAAAGAAAACATGTTGAATAGATTATACCTTTGTGGGCAGCTGAAAAACATGATCAAATTATTGATGAGCCGTTTATTTTTACACACAGGGCTGGAAGGTTCAGTCTGGTGTCAGCTGGCATTATTGCTTTTGGGACTATGGTGAGGCAGCACATCATTAAAGGGGCTGTTACTTACTTTATAACCAGCCTGAGAAAATAAATTGGAATAGAGAAGAGCTAGGATCCTATTTTTTTCCTTGAAGGAAATATGACCTATGACCCAAAGACCTTCCAGTTTTCCTCTTTGCTTTGTGGAATTTAGTAGACAACAAAGTCGTGGCATATCATATGCCCAGGTTGAGAACATGCTCCTGGACTAACATGATCTATCATCCATACCTAAACACATACATACTACCACACCATTCCCCACAAGTAATTTGTACTTCATAGACTTATAGGGTTTTCATCTAGTAGCACCAAGGCACCAATGCAGACTAGACAATTAATACATAAGCCTTTGGAACAGCCTGTAATATGAAAACTCATATATACAATCTACATTTTCATATTTTTCTCATCTTTAGTAATTCTAGTACTGATTAGTATCCGGAAGATAATATGTTATTGTGTTGTCTTTTAAAAAGAGAATGACTGTCTTCATTTATATATATTTTTGAAAATAAAGCATTTCCTTTAATTTTACTGAAATGTATACTCCTTTTTTCCTATTCTGTGTTTTAAGATTTATTTGCGACAACAAGACAAAACAGCAAGCATCAATCAAAATGTCCGTATAGCCAAAATGTCACTCATTGACCTTGCAGGATCTGAGCGGGCCAGTACTTCTGGTACTAAGGGGACACGATTTGTAGAAGGCACAAATATTAATAAATCCCTTTTAGCTCTTGGGAATGTCATCAATGCCTTAGCAGATACAAAGGTAGGTACTATATGTTTACTTGCTAAATATTTTGAAAAATATTTTCTGGAATGTGTTGTGGGTATAGTTTCAGACATGATTGGCCCTGCACTACCGAACAGTGCTGCATAAGTATTGGTTTATGTTTATTTTGTGAAACAACAAAGTATTGGTTTATGCTGTTTGTGTGTGTGCATTCTTGTGGTACTTGGGCTTAAACCCAATACCTCTCATGTGCTAGGAAAGTATTCTACCCCTGGTTTTTTGAGATAGGATCTCAGTGAGTAAGTTAGGCTGTTCTTTGAGTCTCTTTTCTCAGCCTTCTAAAGCTATAATTACAGGCCTGTTCGACCATGCTTAGCATGGTTGCTTTTTTCATACACCCAGCTTTGAACTTCATTGTAAGTAACTGCTCGATGATGACTAGAAAACAAGAATGATAACTGAATTGATAAGAAGACATTAAAAAAAAAAAACAACCTTTGACAGCCAGTTTGTCTAGTTAGTATTTTATAATATACTGTCAAATTGTAATACAAAAGAGATAAGAGGCTTAATGTCTAAAGTGTAATTATATAATAGAATGTTTACTAATGCTTTGAAGCATTTAAAACTCTTTTGATGCAGCATAAACCAGAAGTACATAGTGTTAGATAGCATATTTGATAGTATGCTAAGTTGTTTTTTAGTTTTGAAGCTAAAACAGGCTTAAAAGCTTTAGGAAAATTACTGTTAAATTGCTGAAAGTGATAATTTTAATTTAGAATAGTGTATTTTAAAATTATTGGAAAGACTTTCTTAAGAGGGCAAGTTACTGAAATTACATGACCATTGCAAAAGCAACATTCATTGCACACAGAGTTAAAAACTCAAACATTTGCATATGATGTACTTCAAATTTATAAAGTTACTCGAGTTTCTTGAAGTTTGGGTGATTTGTTTTTTGGTTGGTTGGTTGTGTTTTACTTTGGAAACATAAGCTTGTTTTACTATCCAAGGTACCTACCAAGGGACTGGGATTATAGGCACATGATGCCACACCCTTGTTCAGTCATCTTTTCAAATATGTTTCACCTACAACAAAAAAAAAACAATCTTGATAGCTGTTTTGTTGTAAAGTTTGTACTTAGAGATGTCAATTTTAGATGGGACTTGTAACATTTTTATTCGTTTACTTGTGTGTACAAGTCTGTGTGTGTTGAAGTCAGAGGGTAACTCTCCAGAGTGCGTTCTCCTCCTGCTGTGTGGGCTCTAGGAATTGCACGGAGTGTGTGGGAGCAGCCTTTTTTTTTTTTTTTTTTTTTAAACGTACTGAGTGGTCCTGTCAGCAGTGAATGGGATTTTCACATATTCACCAAGTAGTCAAAATTCATTTGCATCATGTCAACTGCCAGTTTTATCATTGGGCATTGCTTATATTCTTCTAGTGAAATAGTAATCGTTTTTATTTAGATGTGAAAAATGGAATAAGTATTCTTGTTTTGTTCTTTCAGAGAAGGAATCAGCATATTCCTTACAGAAATAGTAAGCTTACTCGCTTGTTGAAGGATTCTCTTGGAGGAAACTGTCAAACTATAATGATAGCTGCTGTTAGTCCTTCCTCTTTATTCTACGACGACACATATAACACTCTTAAGTATGCTAATCGTGCAAAAGAAATTAAATCTTCTGTAAGTGCATTTACTTTGACTTGTTGGGAGAATATTAGGGATGTGTTATTTTTATACCTCTAATTAAAGTCTTAATTAGGGTCATGTTTCTGTTAAGGAGTCTGGCAGTTCAGGTTAGAAGTGTCTGATGCGGTTACTGAGGTATAACTTAGTCACACGTTTTGTGTCTTGATCACTTATGCAGTGGATGTTGTTATTTGTTCTTGTAGGTGCTAGAGTCCTTTAGTGCCTTTTTTTTCTTCAGAACACAGCATGTGATGTTTGGATGGCACTACAGAAGTGCTATCCAAAGAATAGTGCCAAGGATTTAATGTCTTTAAATTTATTTATTTATTTTTTTTACTTAATGCAATAAATATTTATAAATGATAGTGCAATTTATCTGAGCGCCAACTAATGATATCTACCTCAGTTTATAAGATTATTTGCATGAATTCTATAACATTACAGTAAATTTTCACATGCATAATATTGTGTTAAATAAGGAGTATAAAAATAGTGACTGGTTGGGGACATATTTTTTTGCCAAAACTTTGGCATACTTTAAAAAACGTATACTACAGCTGGGATACAAAGTGAATAAATTTTAATAAATAAAAAATTATAATAAACAATACACATGAAAATGTACCTATTTAAAAATTACAGAACCTTGGGTTAGAAGGGACCTCAGATTAGCTGATGTGATTTCTCCTCAACCTCTGCCTTTCCTCCTTTAAGAGTCTGAGGATGAGCAATATGTCAGCCTGTGAGAAATGTCCATATACTATTTATATAAAAGGTCAAACTATATGACTGTACAAAGATTTTTCACACATTACTTCAACCCATTGTGGAGGTTTCTGGTTTGTTTGGGATTTTTTTGTGCTCCATTTTACAACTGTATGGGCCAAAGCTTGAAAATTTTTAAGTACTGATTCTAAATCACTTAAATAAGAACTGTCCAGAATATTAAAAACTAACTTTATGTTTAATTTTCTCCTGACTATTCTGAAAATAATAAGAAACTAATAGGGACTCAAACATAAAACAGAATTCTGAGTTTATTAAAAGAACTAACAGACAATTTTATTATATTGTGAATAAATGCTTAAAGGTATTTTTTCAGTAACCCAATTTGTTTATAATTTAATATGTATGTTCAACATACTCTCTTGACCAGATTTAAGTATGGTCATAGTTAATCATGATGCTAACACTTGTCAAAAAGTCAAACTTGGTGGACCCAGGTTAGTGAGATATAATGCCACTTGTGCTGTATTGAACTATGTGGGTTATACTCATAATTTCTATTTTTCAGCAGTTGAAGAGCAATGTTCTTAATCTCAGCAGTCACGTATCTCAGTATGTAAAGATCTGTAACATGCAGAAAGCAGAGGTAGGTCTACTCTTTTCAGTGATATGATAATTACCTACAGTTCTTCACTTAAGGGATGTTTCTTTCCTTATTGTCCCAAAATTTAATATATTATTTACTATAGTGGAAATCTGCTTTATTTGATTATTAATTATAACTGTGCTTTTGCTATGGTCATGTAAGATGGAAACAGATATTTTGATTTGTATTTTAATTAGTGTTTTCTTTGCTAGATTTTAATGTTGAAAGAAAAACTAAAAGCCTATGAAGAACAAAAAGCCTTGACTGACAAAAATGATTCTGCAAAATTAGTGCAATCAAACACTCAAGACAAAGAAATTGAAAGGTAAAGCTATTAAAATCTCATTTGGGAAATGTATGGTTGTAAAATGTAGCCTTCTATTTTATTACTCATCACTTTTTGTTATGTATCATATATGTATATCTACATACACACAATTTAATTCAGAAAATTTATTTGTTTGTTCTTTGTATTTGACATTCTGGACATCAGCTCCTTTGATTTTACAGATGGGAAAACCAAAAGAGAAAAACTGTTTAGGTCGTCTGTGAAGTTAGTTTATTTTGAACCGTGCTTTTTTTGTGTCATTAGTACTTGTAAAGTTTTATGAAAATTTGTTCTGTTTTTATTGATTCTATATAGAGCTACTACACCACTTACTAATTTTAAGTTATTTATTGTCTGAGTACGCTTCACAGTGATGGAGAATGATAGAATAATATTTCCTGTCCAAGTTGACCAACTATATATGTTGTACCTCTTAAGATTTGTGTTTCTTGCTCTGCTCCTCCAAGTTTACAAGTTTAAACTTGTAAACTTGATTGATTGAGGAAAAAGTTCTTTTGAATATTATGTTATTGACTGTTCTCATTTTGTTTTTCTCCCTAAACTTTATTAATAGCATTGTAGATTTGTTAATTTCACCTGACCACTACAACTATCTTTTTAAGTAGAATTCAAAGAGGTATTGTTTCCTCAACTAAAGTATAGTAAAAACTCAAGTTTAAATTTTGTTGAAATATTGTGTGTGTGTGCATATGTGTGTGTGTGTGTGTATGTGTGTGTAGATAGGTAGGAAAGTATAGATGTAAGTCAGGAGACAGCTTTTCAGGAGTCAGTTCTAGCCTCGCACTGTTGAATTTCTGAGATTGAACTAAGGTTATGAGGTTTGTCTAGCAAGCATTTTTACACACTGGGCCATCTCAGTAGCCCAGAAATATCAGGCTTTGTTCTGTATTCTCGGACTGTGTTATTTTACAATATCACATATGATTATGACAGTTATTTCTGTCAGTGACAAAAGGCAGCTTTGCATATCTCGGGTTTCCCTGTGTGCTGCTAAGGTGCAAGGGTGCTGAATACGCTTGCTTCTCCCATATGTTGAAATTGTTTAATCTCCCAAGTAATCCATTAAAATATTGATTTGTTGTTATTTTATTTAGAGTATAAATTTTTGATACCCCACCAGTTTTTTATATTAAAACATACATGATAATAATACTAATGTAATACAAGTTTCTTGAAAATTAAACTACCAATTTTTCAAAATTAGAGTGATTACTTTTATAAATTTGTCAGCATTAACCAAGTGTAATTTGCCAACTAAATTGTAGCCCATCTCTGCAATCTCAGCTACTTAGTATTCTGAGTCATGAGGATTGCAGTTTCAAGTCGAGCCTGGAATATTTAGGATGATTTTATCTCAGAAACTTAAAAACATAGAAATAGTTGTTGTGATATAACTCAGTTTTGTAGTGCTTGCCTAGCATGTGTGAGTCTCTGGGTTCAGTGCTCTGTGCCATAGTTTTTATGGGGGAAATGAGGAGGACTTTTTTTGAGTTGATGGCTTTAAGTCATTTCTTTCTGTGTGTGTGTATGTGTGTGTGTGTGTGTGTGTGTGTGTGTGTGTGTGTGTGTGTCCCTCTTTCAGGTTTTTTATTATTTTGGGAGGAGGTTGTTTGTGTGAGCATATGTATGTGCAGATGAGTACAGGTGTTCTAGGAAATCAGAAGCATCAGATCTCTCTGGACCACAGGCAGTTGTGTTCCTTCCCGCATAAGTGCTGGGAACCCAAATTGGGATCTCGCCAAGAGCTTTTAACTCCTCTTAACTGCTAAGCAGTTTTTGCAATCTTTTCAGCACCTTAACTTTCTCTTCTGGTAAAATTATTTGGATGGTGTGAACCATGAAATGATCAATTATTGATATATAAAATTCCATCATTTAACCTTTCTCGTTCTGCTCAGAAGTAACTGTCCATAGTATTCTATAATGCTCCTTTTAATATCAGTCACATTGTTACATGGGTGCTTTTTAATACCATGAATAAACAATTTTGTTTTCAATAAAAATTCAATAATATTTTTGTGCGTTTTCAAAAGTTAATGGAAAAAAATCTTATTCCAACGTGTTTGTAAAGCTAGTATACAAAAGAGAAGCATAAAAAATAAAAAAAAATTATAAATAACCAATGTAAAAATTGGTTATGACTATGCCAAGGAAGTGTTATCATCTAATTCATTGTGTCTCACCTAAAATCTTTATTGCAAAATTTTGTTTTCTAGTTAATTTAGATGTTCTAAATGACTAGAAAATAGTTACTACTCGGTACCTTAAGATTTTCTCTTTAACGTGTTTTTTTCTTTCTTTTTTATTAATTAACTTATTTACTTTATATCCTAATCACAGGTTTCTCCTCCCTCCTCTCCTTCCAAACCCTCCTTTTCCCCTCCTCTTCCTCTGTTCCCTTCTCCCTTTCCCCTCCCCTTCTCCTAGTCTCTTCTCCCTTTCCCCTCAGAGAAGGAGAGACCCCATGTATATAGCAACCCACCTTGGCATATCAAGATAAAGTAGGACTAGGTGCATCTTCTGTTGAGGCTAGACATGGCAGCCCAGTTAGTCGAAAGGGATCCAAGGGCAGGCAACAGAGTCGGAGACAGCCTTTTCTCGAGTTGTTAGGAGACCTACATGAAGACTAAGCTGCAGTTCTGTTACATATGTATAGAAGGCCTAGAACTGTCCTGTGAATGTTCATTGGTTGGTGGTTCAGTCTCTGAACCCCTATGGGCCCAAATTAGTTAATTGTATAAAATTATCTTTGTATAAAGTTATCTTGTAGTGTCCTTGACCTCTCTGGCTCCTCTAGTTTCTTTGTCCCACCTCTGCCACACCTAATATTTGGCTGTGGGTTTCTGTATCTGTTTCTATAGGCTTCTGGGTGAAGCCTGTCAAAGGATAGTTATGCTAGGCTCCTATCTGAAAGTGTAGCAGTAATAATACAATAGATAATAGTGTCAGGTGTTGAAATTGCTGTCCTCATCCCTCCATTGGAAGTCTGTGTGATTACAAGAGGTGACCATTTCAGGGTCCAAATTCCTCTTTGCTGGGACTTTTGGCTATTGTCACTCTCATAGATTTCTAGGAGTTCCCTTATCCTAGCTTTATAGCTTGTCTCAGAGCTGCCACACCACCACCATCACTTCCATTTTCTCTCCCTCAGTACTCCCCACACTTGATCCATCCTCTTCCCTTTCCATGCCCTCTTCCACTCAGTTCCCTTCATTCATACTCCTCCAGTGTCTTATTTTTTCGATCTGACTGAGATTCCAGCAGCCTCCCTTGCCCTTCTTGTTTCTTAGCTTCTTTGTGTCTGTGGATTGCTGCATGGCTATCCTGTACTTTATGGCTAATATCCACTTATAAGTGACTACATACCATGTGTCTTTCTTGCCTTGGTTACTCACTCGGGATATTTTCTAGTTCCATCCATTTGCCTGCGAATTTTGTGATGTCCTTGGTTTTAATAGGTACATAGTATTCCATTGTATAAATGTATGACATTCTTTGGTTGAGGAACATGTAGGTTGTTTCCAATTTCTGGATATTACAAATAAAGCTGCTTTGGACATGGTTGAACAGATGTCCTTGTGGTTTGGTGGAGCATCTTTTGGGTATATGCCCAAGAGTGGTATAGCTGGATCTTGAGGTAGAACTGTGTCCAGTTTTCTGATAAACTACCAGATTGATTTCCAAAGTGATTGTACAAATTTGCATTCCCACCATCGATGGAAGAGTATCCCTCTTGCTCCACATCCTCTCTAGCATGTGCTGTAAATTCAGGTTTTGATGTTAGCCATTCTGACAGGTAAAAGATGGAATCTCAGAGTCGTTTTGATTTACATTTCCCTGATGACTAGGATGTTGAACATTTCTTTAAGTGCTCCTTGGCTATTATAGATTCCGCTGTTGAGAATGTTTTGTTTAGTTCTGTACCCCATATTTAATTGGGTTTTTTGTTTTGTTGCTGTCTGATTTTTTAATTTCTTTATATATTTTGGATATTAGCCCTTTGAAGGATGTAGGGTTGATGAAGATCTTTTCCAAATCTGTAGGCTGCCATTTTGTCCTTTTGATGGTATCCTTTTCAGTTTCATTTCTTAAATTTTCATCTTAGAACCTGAGCTGTTAGTGTTCTCTTCAGGAAGTTATCTCCTGTGCCAATGCATTCAAGGCTCTTTCCTAATTTGTCTGCTATTAGATTTAGCGTATCTTGTTTTATGTTGAAGTCTTTGATCCACTTGGACTTGGCCTCTGTGCGGGGTGACAAATATGGATTTATTCGCATTCTTCTGCATGTAGACATCCGGTTAGACAATCAACATTTGTTGAATACGCTATCTTTTTTCCATTGTATGGTTTGGCTTCTTTGTCAAAAATCAGGTGTCCATAGTGTGTGAATTTATTTCAGGGTCTTCTATTCGATTCCATTGATTCACCAGTCGGTTTCTATGCCAGTACCATGCAGTTTTTAGTTTTGTTGCTCTATAGTACAGCATGAGATCAAGTTTTTTGTTTTGTTTTGTTTTTGTTTTGTTTTGGTGGGGGACTGGGTCAAGGTTTCTTCGTGTAGCCTTGGCTATCCTAGACTTGCTTTGTATACCAGGCTGGCCTGGAACTGTCAGAGATCCAGGTGCCTCTGCTTCCCCAAGTGGGTTTTGTTGAGTCTTTGTATTATTCTCTTTGTATCTAATTTATTGATTTCAGCCCTGAGTTTGATTATTTCCTGCTATTGACTCCTTCTGGGTATGCTTGCTTCTTTTTGTTCTAGAGTTTTCAGGTGTGCTGTTAAATTGCTAAGATGAGATCTCTCCAATTTCTTTATTGAAGGCATTTATTGTTTTGAGCATTCCTCTTGATACAGCTTTTATTGTGTCCCATAAGTTTGAGTATGTTGTGCTTTCATTTCCATTAAATTCTAGAAAGTATTTAATTTCTTTCTTCATTTCTTTTTTGACCCTTTGGTCATGATTAGAAAGTTTTTCAGTGTCTTTCAGTTTTTAGGCTTTCTATTGTTTCTGATGTTGTTATTTAAGTACAGTTTAATCCATGATGATCTGGGGTTATTTCAGTCTTCTTGTATCTGTTGAGGCTTGCTTTGTGACCAGCTATGTAGCCATTTTGGGTGCTGAAAAGAAGGTATATTCTTTTGTGTTTGGGTGAAAAGTTCTGTAGATTTTTGTTACGTCCATTTGATTCAAGACATCTGTTAGTGTCATTATTTCCTTGTTTAGTATCAGTTTTGTTGAACTGTCCTGAAGTCTCCCACTATTAATGTGTGGGGATTGATGTGTGGTTTAAGCTTTACTAATGTGTCTTTTACAAATGTGGGTGCCCTTGTTTTTGGGGCATTGATGTTTAGAATTGAGATGTCTTCTTGATGGAATTTTTCTTTGAATATGAAGTGTCCTTAATCATCTCTTTTGATTAATTTTTATTAAAAGTCTATTTTATTAGATACTAGAATGTCTACTCCAGCTTGCTTCTGGATCTATTTGCTATGAAAACATTTTTCCATCACTTTACTCTGAGAAGGTGTCTATCTTTATTGCTGAAATGTGTTTTTTGGATGCAGCAGAATGATGGATTCTGTTTTTGTATCCATATGTTAGCATTGTCTTTTTAGTAGGCCATCAAGTCAATGAATGTTGAGAGATAGTCATGACCAACGATTATTTTTAATGTGCAATTCTGTAATTGAAAAAATATACACAGGAGACACCATGTGTTTAACATAGGAATACACACACATTAACAGAGCATTTTTTATAGTTTTCCAAAACTCTATTATATCAATCCAAAATTTAAAAATTAAATATATTAGAAATTTTAAGTTAAAATGAAAACCCCTGAAGCTACTGGATATGTTAGTATCCCTCATCCTCCAAAATCAAATGAGTAGAGAGTATCAGTGATTTGTTAAATAAGGGTTATTGTTACCTTTATCGCGTATAATCTAGAAAATGAAACTTTATTGTGCTTTTGCAGACAGGAAATATCTCTTTAAGGAATTTACTCATTTCCTCTTTAGAGGCCTCTACCATCTTTATTAGATCAGCTTTACATTTTCTTGTGCTTTAGCTGTGTTAGGATATCCAGGGCTTGTTGTAGTAGGATAGCTGGGTTCTGGTTGTACCATATTGCCCTGGTTCTTATTCTTAAGCTGTCATTTAGCCATCTGGTTGTCCCTGGTGTAGGCTGCCCACTTGGATGTTTCCTCTTCGGGAAAACAGGCAGATCTGTGACCTGGATGTTGGAGCTTAGAGGACACAGAATGCAGCTCACTGGTGCTAGCTGTGCCCCAGAGGGACTTGACGGGCAGGGGATTTGTGAGAGAGGGGTCTAACCTCGATGTACCTGGAGCTGGCAAGTCTTCTTGGAAAGATAGGCAGAGCACTGACCCAGAAGGTGGGGCTCAGGGGACAGAGCCACTGATGCTGACTGTGCTTCAAGGCACCAGGGTTTTTTCATTCTTTTTGTTGTTGCTGCTGCTATTGTTTTTAAGACACTACCTAGAATCCCTTGATAGTCATTACTTTCTTCATATTTATTTTCTTCAGTAAATACCAATTAAGATACTTAGACCAGAAAAATCCAAATTTGACAATATTGAACTTGTTCTTGAATTTTAAAGTTACAAAAACTAAGATATTGTCTTAGGGTGTAACCTAAAGATAACTTATCAGTTCATTTACTGGCACTAGAATTGGTGTAATACAGTACAGTGAAATCATGGTGTCCATATGTACTTCCTATGAAATATTCATTGGCTTAACAAAACTGCAGTAAAGTCAATGTATTGTGGTTTATACTCATTCCCAGGAGAGTTTCATTAAGAAGCACTGACGTAAATTGGCAGTACCTTTACCACAGATGTATATCCAAAACTCTGCCTGAGGAACATTTATTTTCAAATGTGTAGACTTGATTTTATTTTAAAGGCTTTGTAGTTAATTTTCTTAAACAATTTTTCCTGTGTGAGATTGTTTGTAAGACTAAAATATTGTTCTGACCAATGTTGTTTGTCTAAGAAGGTGCCCAACTATGCATTTCCTCAAAATTTTTCATAGGATTTAATCAGTTTTGAATCCTTGCGGTCTAATAAACTCCACAAATTTGATTCTTTAATTTGCTCTTTGGAGGAGGAAACCACAGCCACTATTCTAGGTTTGCCACATTGTTAACTTGGATGTTTTGGGTCCTGCCTATGTCAGTTGACTCTTTGCCAAACTGTAGGGGGTACCTAACCTTATGGTGTATTTTTACTATAATAATCTTTGAGGCTAAAACTGGCTCTCTCATTTTCCCTAGGGGACCATGGAGATACCATATGATAATGCCTCCCATTGCTTTTTCTTCACAGTAAGCCAACACCAAACAGCACATGATGCTCCCGTGCTAATGGGGCCATGAGAATCTTGATAGTACAGATGCAGGTTTTCATCCTTGTCATTTCTGCTGAGCAGTCAGACTGCATATGATAAAATGCAGCATATTACTAATATCAGAGGCCTTGGGGCACCAAATATTTAAATACCATGATTTTCTTTGCAGCAAAAAGAAAACCAAAGTAGTAAAAATAAAATCGGTACTCCCTTCTAAACATAATTGTGGTAGAAGAAAGCTGTTCTGACCTATTTACTGTTTATTGTTCAGTATATTCTGAGTGATATGTGGTATTTAAGTAAGCTGTATATTATATAAATTTAATGAAATGTAATGGTATATTTTATTTTTGGTAGATTTCAAGAAATTCTGAACTCCTTGTTCCAGAATCGAGAAGGAATCAGGCAAGAATATCTGAAATTAGAAATGTTACTTAAAGAAAATGAACTAAAGTCATCCTATCACCAAGAGTGCCATAAACAAATAGAGATGATGTGTTCTGAAGACAAAGTAGAAAAGGTACTTAACTAATTTATGCCTATACTACAGAGAATATGAAAATGCATAATTATAGAAATTTGATAAGCACTGTTTCTTACGTATTCTCTGAAACTTGGAAATACTGTGGGAGCTACAGGAAACTTTAAGAACCAAATATTTAGTTGCACTTGTTCCTCTTTTGAGGACCTGTGAGTTCCTAGGGACAGAAGAGGCAGCCTGTGTGTAGACACAGGGAACACTTTACAACTTAGACCAAGATGGGATTTTTGTTGTTGTTCATAAAATAATATTTTATTGTTGATCTTGCTAGGCATGACTGTATGATCTTGATGAAGATCTAATCAACTTTTAATATTTTGTACTATTGTTTTTAAATACAATGGTACAATACTCTCCCCTTTCCAACTACATAGACTGCTCTCACTGCCCTAACTTTGATTTAAACCACTAACACACAGTAGTCTAAAAACAAAAGCCTTCAAATAGAAAGCCTTTAACTATAAGACAGATATAGCAGGGGGAAAGGGATAAGAGAAATTGTCTCATTTGAAGATTCATTAAAGGTATGTATTTCAAAATGGTTATGGTCTGAGCTTTAACAACTTTTGTATTTTACTTAGAAAATTTGTAAAGTTGATAAATAAAATGGCATCAAAACAGTGCTACCTCTGGGAAACCTGGCAAAAGCAATGTGAAACTGCCAGAAGAAATAAATCTTCAATTCTAGCCCTTGATTCACTTCCAGTCCAAAACTGTAAAGCATTCCCCATAAGTAAGAGACAGCAGACTTAGCATGTAAGACTACCTCAGTGTGAAGAAAGCACATGAAATTTTCACATTAAGGGATTTATACACTGTTATTTTTTATTTTTTAATTATTATTATTTATCACAATTTATTCCACTTTGTATCCCGGCTATAACCCTCCGCCTTGTCTCCTCCCAGTCCCACCTTCTCTGCATCTTCTCCCCCTATGGCCCTCCCCGAGTGCAAGATATCAGGGTGGTCCTCCTCCCCTTCTCTGACCCAAGCCTATCGGTCTCATCAGGCTTGGCTACATCTTCTTTCTCTGTGGCCTGGCAAGACTGCATTAGAGGTGATCAAAGAGCCAGCCACTGAGTTCTCGTCAGAGACAGCCCTTGTTCCCCTTACTAGGAACCCATTTGGGAACTGAGCTGCCTATGGGCTACAGCTGAGCAGAGGGTCTAGGTTCTTTCCATGCATGGTCCTTGGTTGGAGTATCAGTTTGTCCAGGTCTCCTGGGCCCAGGTTTTTGCCACTGTTGCTTCTAGGGAAGATGCTTAATCCTCACTCAGAAGGGCAAATGGGATAAACATCAGAAGCAGGAGAAGATGAACAGGACAGGAGCCTACCACAGAGGGTCTGTGAAAGACTACCCAGCTGAGTATGGACTCAGATGCTGAGATTTATAGCCAGACTTCGGGCAGAGTACAGGGAAGAAAAGGGAGATAGAAAGACCTGGAGGGGAGAGGAGCTCCACAAGGAGACCAACAGAGCCACTGTTAAATTTTAAAAAGTCACATTATCATATAGTACAAGGCAATGCTTAGGCAACTTAACATATATTAACTCACTTAATTGTCAAAAAACTCCATGAGATATTTAATATTCTCTCTTCTAAGCAAGGCCACCAGTAAGTCATTTTGACAAAAGTAATTCAGGAGCAATGGTAGCTGAGCTATGATTTAAACTCTAGTAGGTTAATGCTAGAACATGTGCTCTTAGCTTTGTTTTTGTTTTTTTTGGGTTTTTTTGGTTTTTTTTTTTTTTTTTTTCTGTTAGGTACTACAACAGTGAGTATTTAAAAGCTGGAAAACAGATCTAAAATACTCAAACCAAATAGTGCATAAGTAATGTGTGGACAAAATGTTCTTTTTTTTTTCATTCTAGGATCCCAGTGCTTTAATTGATGCCTTTAGGGTGGGCCTTTCATCGTCAATTAAACCTATCTGGAAACATTCTTAGAAGGTTTTTTTTGGTTAGTAGTTCTCACCCTGTGGGTCACAACCTCTTTTGGAGTTAAAGGACCCTTTTACAAGGGCCTCATATCACATATCATATATTAACATTACAATTCATAACAGTTTATGATGTAACAACAAAAATAATTTTATGGTTGGGAATCATAAAACAGTCATGAACTGTTTTAAAGGGTCACAGCATTAACAAAGTTGAGAACCACTGTCCTACGTAATTCTAAATCCTGTCAAATTGACAATCAAGGTTAATTGTCACACCCTATTGGTGGGTCTTTGGTTGGTTGGTTGGTTAGTTGCATGAAGCAGTGTTGACAACTAAAATTTGAGAATCAGGTTTTCTAACTCAAGACCTGTTTTGTTCTAAACATTTTTTTTTAAACATATAAAGGTCTTTCAAACTTCAGTGAGGGTTTTTTTGTACACTTTTATGTCAAAATGTACACATTTAAGAATACGGTAGCAAACCCTTTTTTTTTTTTTTTTTTTTTGGTAGAACAGAGCTTCGATGCAGGTAGTTCAATGGAAAAAAATGTATCCAGAATTCCAATCATAATAGAAAATACATTTGATGGGCATTACAATTCAAAATTGTCCTTTTTCAGTTTTAAGTAGGGGCCTTTCAGGTGTTACATTGTCTTCATATCTATAGATCACTTCCTGGCCACATTTCAGAATTACATTTGTAAATCTTAAGACAAAGTAAATGTAATTTAGCCTCTATTCTTAAGCAGGTATAACACCTTTATCTTCATTTCTTAGATAAAGTGCCTGAAGATTTATTGAGATTGACTTGTGTAAATTTTCACACTTTCTGAATGGCAGAAGATAGTCAAAATCTCCCATCTCCCACTTCCTGCTGTAGCACTATCTAGCCTTCAAGTTTAGAACTCTTTTCTACCATTAAAACTTTCCTAGGATCTGGGGACAGCGGCGTGTGCCTGTAATCCCAGTACATAGATCTCTGTGACTTTGAGGCCAGCCTGGTCTACAAAGCGAGTCCAAGATAGCCAAGGCTACACAAAGAAAGCCTGTCTTGGGGAGTGGAGGAAGTCCTACCTAGGACTATGAAGACCTTTCTTTATAGGGATTCTGTCTATGGTACTGTATTAGAAATTATTGGTATGATTTACAGAAATACTTGTTTTCTTGTAATTATAGGTTTATAAAGATAACTACTTATTTTCCCAAACAGAAAAAAAAAAAAAAACTATGAGAAAAACAGCATTGATATACATCCTTCCAACTGTACACCTGGCTGCATGATAGTTGTATTTTTTTAATAATTTTTTTTATTTTAATTTTTATTAATTACACTTTATTCATTTTATATCCCCCCTGTAACTCCCTTCCTCCTCCCCTCCCAATCCCACCTTTCCTCCCCCTTCTCCACAAACGCTCCTCCCAAAGTCCACTGATGGGGGAGGAACCTCCCTTTCCATCTGACCCTAGCCTATCAAGTCTCATAAGGACTGACTGTATTGTCTTCCTCTGTGGCCTGGTAAGGCTGCTCCCCCCTCCTTTCATCTGCTTTATGATGTTCTGTAATGATTTTACACCACTGTTACTTCCTGCACTAATCTTATTCTAATTATAATTAGGAATTAAGAAGCCTCGCTGCAGAGCTGCCTCAGTGGTTAAGAGCATTTGTTGCTCTTGCAGAGAACCTGGATTCAGTTTCTAGCACCATGTGGTGGCTCACAACTTGTAACTCAGTTCTTGGTGATCTCATGGTCTTCTCTGACCTCTGTCACATTTTGCTCTCATATTAGAGCAAAATGCTTAAACGTTAAAATAAGTCATTTGTTTTAATATTTTGTACAGACTTAAAATGCTGATGAACTCTTAAGTGTCATAAAAAATTATTTTGCATCACTGACCTCCCTGGAAGCACCCCACACACCTTCATGTGAACACTGTAGCTGCCATTAGACTTCCACCAGTTAGACCTTTGCAGTATTACATCTGTTGTGTTAGCAAGCATTTTGTATTCCACCTTTTTTTCCTCTTTCGAGAGAAGACAGGTATTCTGTTTGTTTAAGCAGCTATTTTGTTTTGCTAAGGTCTTGCGGTTAGAAAAAAAAAAAGATTTAGGATGTAATTAGAGAATTACAATAAAGAACTAAGAACCTTGATTAAAATAACAGTGATTATTAAACCATGCTCTCAAGTCATCTGACTCCAGCCTACTGTGAAGATGCTTTTCCTTGACCATTTTATTTTTCCTGAAGGGGGAAATGTATAGATATCTAGAATCTGACTCTGCCTTAATGGCAGTCACATTTGCTTGGCACTAAATACTCACAAGCTAATATCCTCCACCAAAATGATGATACTCATATTTGCTTATGTTATAGGCTTGAAAATATTAATGAATAATATTTAGAATCACTAAAATTAATAATTTATTACCTAAAAAATAATTAGGTAATAATTAGTTAGGATGGTACTCATCCTAACCATAGGTGAGGTCAGGTACTGATAAATAATGCTCTGATACTTTTTTCTCTGCCGTTCAGAGCAGACAGTTTAGAATGGTAAAACTCTTTTGTTCTTCATATCTTTCAGATTAGAGAAAAGACAAGTCCAGAGTATGCATGAATTTTTATTTTGAGTAAGGAAATCATGGAATTTATCTAACCTTATATGAACTTTACAAATGTAGTGTACAGAAAGAAGTTATACTCTTCCATTTAACCACTGCGTTTCTTAAAACCAAAAGTAATTTTGTAAAATGACTCACAACTGATTCCCTATTTTGCTATGATATTTTAATGGAAAAAATAGCAAGCGTAGCTTAACATAATGTACTATATCAACCTTTTTGAGTGTTGTACACGTCAAATATAAAAATTTAGGTGTACTATTAAATACATTCTGTTTCAGGCCACTTGCAAACGAGATCAGAGACTTGAAAAGTTGAAAACTGTTCGCAGTTTCCTAGAGAAAAAGAAGGAAGAGACGTTGAAACAATTTGAGGAAAATACTATGTGGCTACATCGAGTGGAAAGTGAAATGGGACTCTTAGGTCAAAATGGCGATATTCCAGAGGTACAAATATGTTTATGTGTTCAGATTTCTTATTTTTCTTGTTGAGTAAATATCTTTCATACGACAGCTGTTGCCGTTTCTCTGAGATTTAATTAGTTCACTATACTGTGTTTAACAAATATATCTTTAAGCTCTCACTATTCACCTAATTGGTTTGTGGTTTCTGCTTTCAGAAGGGTCAACTTATTTTTAAATGTTCTTTAAGTAACTATGAAGTAGCTCTTAAGTTAGAATTAAGTAATTCTGTTTCAAACTAGTTTAGCTTTCCTTATCTAAGGCATTTAAACTTTTTCCACTAACAATCTAGTTTTACCTGAGAAATGTTTTTGTGATCCTAAATATATAAGTATGTAATAGATAAACAGATCAAGCATTTGCACATTATAAATAATGAGGGAGTTTATTTTAAAACAGTTTTCTGGGGAGTGTGTGTGTGTTTACCATTTATTAAACATAAAAGCAAATTTGAATGCTAATGTCTTGTTAATAGGGCGACTTTTCAGAAGTCATCCTGTTTTTTTTTTTTAATATTAACTTTTTATAGGGCATAATACAAAATGGCAGAGGTTTACTTAGGGCCATTTTGAAATGATTGGAAATTCTTTCATGATCAGAAGCATGCCAAAAGTCATTTGATGATGTTTCGCGAAACTCAAGTCAACATCTCGAACAGTGATCTGTAAAATCATGGATAGCATAGTGCAATCCAAACCTACATAAATTTGATATAGATGCTGAGGAGTGAACATAAGAAAATATTTTCCCTATGTAAGCCATTGTGTTTCTATAGAATAATCTTTGTATGTACAGTAAAATGACTATGATTCTTAGCATGCAGCAGTCTTGAATGAGAGCAGCTTGCATTGGCATTACCAGTGCAGAGTGTTGTGTATTCAGAACACTTTTACAATGAAGTTCTGTGATTCATTGTGAGGGTATGCAGCCAGAAACACATCTTCTTACTATATACACACATTTAATATTGAATTAATTTGTGATTGTTCTTTGTTCAAAACCTTTACTAGAACAAAGGTTTTGTGGCTAGAATATTTACAAAACTATATTCAGTTGTATGGCCCAGTATGGGAATGCACCAACCAATTAAAAAGCTAGAAAGTGAGTAATTTATTTCTTAAACTTGATATATTTATTTAAATATTAGCTAAAGTATTTGTAGTTTTAACTTGCATTTTTCAACTTTGTAGTGCATATAAAGTTAATCATTTGAGTTACTATCAATGAATTTAAAGTTTTTTAATATGGTTGTATATAGTTTTTTCAAAACTAGAATTTTTGTTTGTTGAGAGAAGATCTCTCTGTAACCTTGGCTGGCTTGAAACGCAGTATGAAGACCAGGCTAACCTCAGACTCAGAGTTCTGCTTGTCTTTGTCAAGTTCTGTTATCAAAGGTGTGTACCACCACAGTATTTTTGTACACCAGACTATTAAGTCAATACTTTTAGTCTTTTATATATTTTATTATAAATAGCACAAAGAAAGACCTCAGTTCCAAGTTCTATCACCTAACTCCCATTCTCCGTTCTATTTTCTCAAGATGTTTTCACAACTGAAACAATTATCTAGTCATAAGCACTTATTTTCTGTGTAAATAAAATGTAACCTAACTTCACAGAGGGACCTATCCGAGGTTCTGCAATTCTTGACAGAGACTTCTTCTTTGTGACTTTGAAAGGAATGCTGTCTTCATTATCTACTTTTCAATTATGTCTTTATCCAGCAGTACTACAATCCTAATTCAGGCTACCATTTCTCATTATCATACTGCAACACTTGGCCTTTCTGATTTTATCCACTACAAGTAAACTGATAATTTGAGAGTTAACATGACAGCATCACTCTTCAGTGTTCTGTCCCTACTGTAAACAGTCTATCATAGCTAACCAAACCTGGCACAATCTGCCACCTTATATTCCTAAGGCTGACTGTTGCCTCCCATTGTACACTCTACTTTAGTTTTTATTAGTTGACTTGTACTTTTATAATGGGCTGTGGTCTCCTCAGATTTGGTCATTGATGTATTGAGAAGAGAACACACTAAAGTTCCAGTGTTGGTTTTCCCAAGAAGACCATCTACCCAAGATGTGTGACTATTGAGTAGGAAGAGTGGTTCCAGAGGATAAAAGATAAGAAAGAGCTGGTTTTTATTGTGTGTGTTTATTATTTTGTTTGGAAAACAGCTAGAGCTATTTAGAAGACGTTTACACACTTAATTGATTTTCTAACTAGAAAACTATAAGGAGATTGTGGAAGATGAATCAGTTCAGCATTTACACTTCAGTCAAGTAAACTGATCTCCATAAAGGCCATGTATTTGGCTAGAGCTGACATTTGTTTCAAGACAGGCATATCCCTAAAAAAATCAAATGACTCATAGGTCAATCCTCTAGACATATCCTGGTTCCATAGAAAGTGTTTTTATCCAAAATACATGATATATTTCTTGAAGTATAAAGGTGAATTATGTAAATGAATTGTGCTGGCTAGTTTTATGTCAGCTTGACACAAACTAAAGTCATTTTTAAAGAGGAAACCTTGATTGAGAAAATGCCCCCATCAGATTGGCCTGTGGGCAAGCTTGTGGCACAATTTTCTTTCAAAGTAACATTTCTTTGTCAAAGTCCCTACTGCTGCTGTAGGAAGTATTTTATATTTAACAAACCTGGTAAAGAGCCTACATTCCTTTGTCATTACTAAAATATTGATATTTTATGTCTCTTCCTTTGGCCTTGAACATAATAAATTGATATCATACAAATAACAGAAAAAAAAACAGCAAATCTGTACCTTATGGAATCTGTGTTCAACTGTGGACTAGAAATGAGTGCAAAAAATCAAAATGGAATACCAAAATTTTTCCTGTAAGAAAATTCCAGACATGGTTCTATTGTTTATTAGATTGTTAGCTAACCGGTTAAAGTGTCCTCATAAAGTCACTTTTCCATTAAACAATTAAAGATGCTAAAACTGCAGTTATATTCATACATCTATATCCACGCAGCTAGAACTTTTGTATTTAACAAGTTTCAGGAACATGGAGTAAATTAGAAAGTAGATTAGAAAGCACCTGGCTCTAGACAGAAGAGAGTTTAGAAAATGAGAATATTCAAAAGATTTTTTTATTCCTTTTCTAAGATGAAGCTTATTACAATAATATTAGGGTGGTGAGGGTTGTATAACATGCAACTCCTAACACTGGACTGTATACCAAACTAACCTGGTCATAGTTCATCTTTGGGTGAACCTTATCTCTTAGTAGAGATGGGATTACAGAGCGAATACATAGCATTCCTATGCCAGTTCTATGGCAGTGTTGAAAGATGCAGGTTGCCCATCTTTAAATGGAGTAGTCAAGGAATACCTTTCTTGGTAGTTGAATTTAAACAAAAACTTCTGTTATTACTGTGTGAAAATATTATAAACTAATTAACTATCAGAGATTCTGCCATCATGGTATACCTTTTTCTGGATGCCCAACATTCATTGTCTGAGACATCGAAACTCTTACCTTGCTGGTAAGTTCTACACAAGCTATGCCAGACCTCTTATTGTCTAAATTTCTCAAAGTTCATTGGTACCCATATAAAATAAGTTATGTTAAAATTAGTATAATTCTCTTAAAAATCTAAAATACGTTTTGCATTATTGTTTTTAGGAGCTCAATAAAGATCTTCATTGTCACCATTTACACCTCCAGAACAAAGACCTCAAAACACAAATTGGACACATGATGGCTCTAGCTTGTCTCCAAGAACAGCAGCACAGGCAGACTGAGGCGTAAGTACATGGAGTTAGTTTGTCTATAAACCTTAATGCTGCAGACTGAATTGTTTGGCAGCATCAGAAAACAGGCAGGAAGAAAGCATTGAGAGAATGTGAGAGATTTGGTTTTTTTTTTCCTAGTAACTACTTTTTTATAGTACTTTACAGTTCTTTAATTAATTTTCATTTTTAGTTATTAGAAATTCTACAATAGTTTTTATTTAGTTGTGTCTGCCTTTCTAACCTTGTGTCCTCTGCACTCAGACCAGCATTCACATGAAGTTCTGGGTTCTGTACTCAGTGCTACAGCCCAGTCTTATGAGCCTCACCTGCACTGCCCCAACTTCCAAGCTCTGTCCAGGAGACATGCCACCAGCAGAAAAATCCACATGCTCAGGTCTCACTAATTTTACTAGCTTTTAATAAGCATCAGGTGTCTCAATTATTTTATAGTTTTCATTAATTAAATAATTTTCTTTGACAAGTTCTCATATGTACATAATACATACTGACTACTATGCATCTTAATACTGTTTACACCCCTTCCTCCCTGTCTGTTTGTGGTGTGTTTTTTGTTTGCTTGTTTGTTTCTTTTCTTTGGTTTGGTTGGTGACCCAGTAAGTTTAAGCAGAGCCATCTGTGTGATCATCAGTTTGTATCTTTCTATTGAAGTCTGATACACAACTGAAGACAATGGCTCCTTTTTTTCCCAACTTCTATCAATTGCCAGTAATTGAGCTGGACCTGGTAGGTCACCTTGAGCCCGTCTCTCTTACTCAGTTGATTACTGACAAGGCCAGTCTTATGTGGGCCCAATGTTGGTCACAGCAGTTGTTGTGAATTCATGGTTGCAGTGGTTGTATTGAGTTGAGAGCGTTTGCAACACTTCCCCCTCACTTCCAGCCCTATGTACTTCCCAGTTCTTCTTTCATCATATTCCTTGAGCTTTAGAAGAGGTGGTATAGATGCCCTATTTAGGGCTGAGCCCTCAGCTTCCATTTCTTCTCAGAATCTTTGGCAGCTGTGAGTCTCCTAATCACTGTTCATTAGAGAGACTTCTCTGATTGCAATTAAGAGTTTTCATTTATGGATATAAGTGTAGAAGTGTGTAAGACAGTGAGATGCAGTTTAGCCCAACAGTACTAAGTTCCCCCCTAGCGTGTGACTTCCCCTAGCATAGCTTATTAACCAGACTTCAATACAAGCATGAATTCTGTCCGTGGAGTGTACCTCAAATCTGGTCAGTTGGGTACCCCACTTTTGCACAAGTTGGGATACATCTTGCTTAGAGAACTGGTTGGTTTTGCTTTCCTTTCAGTGTCATGAAGTTCACAGCTGGGTGAAACTACTGTTAGCATTTTACCCCTATAGCCCTAATAACACCTTTCAATACTTACATTCCACCAAAATTAAACAAAAATAAAATAAATAATTTAACAACAACAGTGAACCAGCAATAACAAACACTCTCAAAAAAAAAAAAAAAAAAGGCTCAGGACCAGATAGATTTACCACAGAATTGTATCAGACTTTCAAAGAACTAAAACCAATGCAGTGCATATTGTTCTATAAAGTGGAAAAGAAAGGAATTCTTCCAAACTCAACATGAAGCTGATTCCAAAAACAAGATAAACACACATAGACACATTACAAACACATGTAAAAATTCTTGATATAATACTGACATGCTGAGTTTAAAAACACATCAGAAAGATCACTCATGATCATGATTAAGTTAGCTTCAATTCAGAATGTTGGGGAATGTTCTGTTTATGTAAATCAGTAAGTGTAATGGATCAAAAATATAGACAGGAGTCACATGATTATCTCCATAGACACACAAAAGGCCTTCTATAGAAGACTCCTACATCCTTTCTTGGCATGTGACGGGGAGACTAAGGATGGACAGAACATACCTTAGCATAATTAAAGGCTATATCATGCTAAATGGAGAAAAAAGCAAAAGCATTCTAAGATCAGAGAGATAAGAAAAGCGTGCCCATTTTTTCCACTTCTGCTACCTATAGTGCTGAGCTAAGCCATTAAAACAGGAGAAAGAACAGGATGAAAATAGAAAAGTCAAAGTTTCCCTGTTTGCAAATGATATAATTCTATAATTAAGAAAACTTAATGACTTTACCAAAAGCCCTCTTATTAAAAACTCTGCAAATTGTTGGGTAGAAAATCAACACACAAAAACAGTAGCCTTCCTAGAATTCCAATGACAGGTGTACTGAAAAAGAAATCAGGATTCAGATCAGTCTCATTCACAATAACCTTGAAGGGTGGGTGGATGGATGGATGGATGATGAGTAAATGTATACAATGAAAATTTTAAAACAATGTAGAAATAAATTGAGGAGGACACTACACAATAAAAAGATTGTCCTTGTTCTTGGATTGCAAGTCTTGTGAAAATGATCATCCATCCTCATGAAAGTTTTGAGGCCATTCTATACAGATTCAGAAAAGTGTTTTTTTTTTTTGTTTGTTTGTTTTTTTTTGTTTTTTGAGACAGAATTTCTCTGTCCTGAAACTCACTTGTCACTTGTAGACCCGGCTGGCCTCAAGCTCACAGAGATATGCCTGGCTTTACCTCCATAGTGTGCGATTAAAAGTGTGTGGCACTACCTTCTGACATGTTTCCATTTCGTTGTGGTGTTCGTGTATTCACTGTATTGCTCACTAATAGCATTTTTGTTCTCAAGTTTTTAAGTGTCTGATTTTCTTAAAAAGTGTGGCTTAGTCTCTCTCTCTCTTTTTTTTTTTTTTTTTTTTTATAAATCAATTAAAAGCTTGTTAAATAGACACTGCTTTGAGGTTCTATAAAATGAGGGATTCTTGTCTCTACAGGCCAGCCATTCAAAAATCCTATTTGCATTCCACGGGTATTCTCAAATTACTGTGATTAGTTTTCTATGCTTTTGATTTAAAGTAAGCCATTTTAAGATGAAGAAAAACAGAATAATTTTTCTATGAATGGGTCCTCACACTCAACTCTGCACTAATTGTAGATCTGTAACTACAGCAAATCACCATCATTTACTAACAACCAAATTACATGAAGGAGCTTAGACTTTTCAGACAGAGTGATTTATCTTGGCCCTGCTGTGCTTATATCAGACATACATATTGATATGCCTTAAGTAAATTTTCACCTTAAATGAGATAAAATGGGTTTTCACTAATTTCAAGAATTAGTAAAAGCAATGCCTACCTAACAAGCTGTTAATTGATTTATAAAAGATGACAAGAGAGATTAAGCCACACTTTTTTAAAAAATCATACATTTAAAATTTTTGAGAATAAAAATCTTATTAATGAGCAGTACAGTGAATAAAAGAACACCACAAAAATATGGTGATCATCACAAACAATGCGGCATTGTGGCGAGTGAGTATGTCTTGTTTGCCAAATGTCTGCTTATTTTGGCAATATATCCTTCTAGAAACTATGTAACATTGCTAAGCCTTAGATTTTTCATTCATAAAAATTGATCATTATGCCAGAGAAATTCCTGCTCCCCTTACTAGGAACCCCACTTGGAGACAGAGTCTATGGGCTACACCTGAGCTACATCCATGCATTGTTCTTGGTTGGGATATCATTCTCTTCAGGGTCTCCAGGGCTCAGTTTTTATGGCTCTGTCGTTCTCCTCTTGGAGCTCCTTTTCCTCTAGGTCATTCTATCTACCCTGCAGCCTTGCCAGTCCACAGAGGAAGACAATGCAACCAGTCCTGATAAGACCTAAAAGGCTAGGGTCAAATAGAAGCAGAGGAGGACCTCCAATATCGGTGGATTAGGGGAAGAACATAGGGGGAGAAGGGTGAGGGAGGGTGGGATTGATAGGAGACAAGGGAGGGGGCAATAGCCTGGATACAAATTGAATAAATTGTAATAAATGATACTAATGAAAAAGGAAGAAAAAATTGATCTTTATACAAACATTACATGGTACTTGAGTTGTTAAAACTACTCCCAGGTTTACTGATTCACTAGTGTTTATGAGACTCATATAGTGGTACTCAAAAGCTGTGAGGGTAGGTTAACAAAGCCACGCAAAATAAAATCAGCAAAATGGAAAAGGGTATAGGATAGTCTGGAGAGAGTGAACAAATAACATTTCAAGAGTCTTGTTAAGGACCAGGCATGGTGACATTTACCTTGAACCTAGCACAATGGAGACAGAGGTGGAAGGATTGCTGTAAATTAGAGGCCTTCATGGTCTATGTGGCAATATTGAGAGTCTAGCTTTATAAAAGAAGAATCTTGTGCAGTGAGGATGGGATATGCTTAATTTCAGCAAAAAAGTTGTGATAACACATGATGTCTCACTTTGAAAACTTGGTACTATCAGTGCCTCAGGGTTTTATTGGGGTGATTTCTTATACAATTCTATCTGACAGATAAAATCTTCATACTTTCCAAAGAAAAGTAAGACAGTCTAGATACTAATCTCTGATACTTAAAGATGCATTTTAAATAGAGTGAAGCACTTGTCATTTCCAATCTGTAAATTATGGAAATACAGCTACCACCCAAAGCAAAGCTTTCATGGTACTTTCAGACCTAGTACTCTTTACTTCCCAGAACAGTACAGTTGCCAATAGTACACAGATATACACCGCTGTAGCAGTCCTTCCTTTTAACCTGTCCCTTCCTAACACAAACAAGGGAATCAGGAAATTTGCAGGCAAATTGTGGGATTTAGAAAAGATCGTCCTGAGTGAGGTATCCCAGAATGAGAAAGACACACATGGTATATATTTGTAAGTGGATATTAGACATCTAATATAGGATAAACATACTAAAATCTGTACACGTAAAGAAGCTAAGTAAGAAGGAGGACCCTGGGTAAGATGATCAATCCTCACTCAGAAAGACAAAGAGGATGAACATTGGAAAAAGGAGAAAACAGGAAACAGGACAGGTGACTACCACAGAGGGCCTCTGAAAGACTCTATCCAGAAGTGTATCAAAGCAGATACTGAGACTCATAACTAAACTTGGGCAGAGTACAGGGAATCTTAGGAAAGAAGGAGGAGATAGAAAGACCTGGAGGGGACAGGAGCTCTACAAGGAGAGCAACAAAACAAAAAAATTTGGGCACAGGGGTCTTTTCTGAGACTGATACTCCAACCAAGGACCATGCATGGATATAACCTAGAACCCCTGCTTAGATGTAGCCCACAGCAGCTCAGAATACAAGTGGATTCCCTAGTAAGGGAAACAGTTCTAACATGAACTCAGTGGCTGGCTCTTTGACTACCTCCCCCTGAGGGGGGAACAGCCTTACCAGGCCACCCAGGAAGACAATACAGGCAGTCCTGATGAGACCTAATAGGTTAGGGTCAGAGGGCAGGGGAGGAGGACCTCCCATATCAGTGGACTTAGAGAGGGTTATGGGAGGAGACAAGGGAGAGAGGGGCCTATAGCTGGGATGCAAAGTGAATAAACTGTTATTAATATAAAAATTTTAAAACTTCATTTTATATGTCTTTCTGTGAAGTTGCTTTACTATATTGTATATTCCATGTACAAAAAATGTCCATGAGTTTGATATTGATGCAGCTGTTGTCAAGTCTAACTTCATAGCCTATGAAGAAGCCATGAGGTGAGTCATGATAAAAAAATAAAAAAATGGAGAGAGACTGAAGGCTTATAAAATAACTGTGTCTCAATATTCCTATGTATGCCTCCAGGGCCACATAGAACCTACTGGGATTACCTATAGATCCTGGTTTTCTTGACTCCCAGTCAAGACTCTTTACTCTGTACTAATTATATTAAGTATATGTTGAAATGTTTGGATGAAATTGTATTATTTAACAAAGCAAATCTGAATTGTGAAAAGACTTTAATATTGATATTTTCATGGGTTCCAAGGGAGAGAGTGAACAAAGATAGGTTTTAGAAAAGGATAGTTTGGCCTCACCTCTACTGGGTGCAGGCTTGGCAAGAGAATTTGACAAGTACATTTTAAAGGAAATTATTTTAATGATATTATAACACTTTGCCTGTTATACGAAAGAACTATGATAGTGTGTTTAAAACAGTGTTCCTGTCTCTTGTCTCCTGTTCGTAGAGTATTGAATGCTTTGATTCCAGCACTAAGGAAACAGTATTGGAGGTTGAAAGCAACTGGCCTGTCAAATGCTGCTTTTGATTCTGACTTCAAAGACATTGAACATTTAGTAGAGAGGAAAAAGATGGTGGCTTGGGCTGACCAAACTACCGAACATTCAAATCAAAATGATCTCCCAGGGATTTCTCTTCTTATGACCTTCCCACAGCTTAGACCAATTCAGTCTATTCCTTGTTGTAAGTACAGTTTTTTGTTTTATTTAGTAAATGGTACCATTATGTCTAATATTATTTATATTTCAATATTAAGGCAGTTCATTTCTTTTAATAGATTTGATTATTTGATGGCCAGTAACAAAAATGCCAGCTGTCTTTGCTTTTATTTTATTTTTATTTATTTTATGTTTGTACTTATTTCTAAATAATTTTAATTAACAAGAATCTCGCAGGACTGCCAGCATATATATTGATGCTTTTGATAACTTTCATTTATTTCTAATTCTTATTTACATTCTTATTTTAATTGAAGATTAAGTTTATAATAAATAATATCACATTCTTGAGTTTTTGATCTTAGCCATTCTGATGGGTGTAAGGTGAAATCTCAGGGTTGTTTTGATTTGCATTTTCCTGATGACTAATGACACTGAGCATTTCTTTCTTTAAGTGTTTTTCTGCCATTCGATATTCCTCTGTCAAGAATTCTCTGCTTAGTTCTGTTTCCTGTTTTTTAATTGGATGACTTAATTTGTTGCTTTTTAACTTTTTTAGTTCTTTATATATACTGGATATTAGGCCTCTGTCAGATATACAGTTGGTGAAGATCCATTCCCAATCTGTAGGTGGTAGTTTTGTTCTGACGACAGTGTCCTTTGCTTTACAAAAGCTTTTCAGTTTCATGAGGCCCCATTTATTGATTGTTGCTCTTAGAGCCTGTGCTGTTGGTGTTCTTTTCAGTAAGTTGTCTCCTGTGCCAATGCCAGGCTCTTCCCCACTTTTCTTCTAACAGGTTTAGTGTGCCTGGTTTTATTTTGAGGTCTTTGATCCACTTGGACTTTAGTTTTGTGGAGGGTGATAAGTATGGATCTATTTTTATTTTTCTACAAAAACTCAAGTGACAGCACATGCTAGGGAGGTTGTGGAGAAAGGGAAACCCTCCTCCACTGCTGGTGGGAATGTAAATATGTACAACCACTCTCGAAATCAATCTGGCACTTTCTCAGACAACTAGGAATAGTGCTTCCTCAAGATCCAACCATACTACTTTTCGGCATATATCCAAAAGAGGCTCAAGTACACAATAAGGATATTTGCTCAACCATGTTTGTAGCAGCTTTATTTGTAATAACCATAGCTAGAATCAACCCAGATGCCCCTCAGCTGAGGAATGGATACAGAAAGTACGGTACATCTACACAATGGGTACTACTCAACAATAAAAAACAAGGAAATCATGAAATTTGCAGGTAAATGGTAGGAACTGGAAAAGATCATCCTGAGTGAGCTATCCCAGAAGCAGAAAGACACATGATATATACTCACTCATATAGACATATAATATAGGATAAACCTACTAAAATCTGTACACCTAAAGAAACTAATCAAGAGAGAGAAGTCTGGCTAAAATACTCAATCCCAGCCAGAAAGGCAAAGAGGATGGACATCAGAAGGAGGAGAAAACAGGGAACAACTTAGGAGCCTGTCACAGAGGGTCTCTGAAAGGCTCTGCCCTGAAGACTATCAAAGCACATACTGAGACTTATGGCCAACTTTTGAGGAGAATGCAGGGAATCTTATGAAAGAAGTGGGAGTTACTAAAATCTGGAGGGGACAGGACCTCCACAAGGAGAGCGACAGATCCAAAAACATCTGGGCACATGGGTCTTCCCTGAGACTGATAGTCCAACCAAGTAGCATGCATGGAGATAACCCAGAATCCCTGCACAGATGTAGCCCACGACAGTTCAGTCTCCTAGTGGGTTCCATAGTAATGGGAACAGGGACTGTCTCTGATATGAACTGATTGGCCTGCTCTTTGATCACCTCCCCCTGAGAGGGGAGCAGCCTTAGCAGGCCATAGAGGAAGACAATGCAGCCACTCCTAATGAGACCTAACAGACTAGGATCAGAAGGAAGGAAAAGAAGACCTCCCCTACTAGTGGACTTGGGGAGGGGCATACTTGGAAAAGGAGGAAGAAGGGACGGGTTGGGAGGGGAACAGGGAGGGAACTACGCGGGGGCGGGGGGGGATACAAAGTAAATAAAGTGTAATTAATAAATAAAATTTAAAAATAAATAGAAAGAAAATAATATCACATTCTGTACTAATTAGTAACCTTAAAATCAGCTAGCACTATAGAATTCACTATTTTTTTCTGTTGACATATGTTATCATTATTCTACAAATTGAAATATTTTCATTGCAAAGCTAATTTATAATCTGAGTTTAAAATGACATTTTTTGGCAGTGTAGAACAACAAGCAGAAGGCCTTGTCTTCGAAATAGTTGATGTTTCCAATTTTGTCATCTTTATGTGCCCTCTTACACATTCTGTCTTCCCTTGAGCTCTCTGGGTTTGTCACACAAATACATATTTTACTAGAAAAGCCTAGGTTTTGTTAGGTTTCACATGAATTACAGCACATTTTGGTCTGCAATTTTTTATTTTCAGTTTCTTAGTTTACTGTAGACATTTTAAGTGTACCTACATCTGTAATTTACCTCATTTAAAAGTTTTGAGAGCCTACAAAATAAATTTGCATTGATTTAATCAGTGTTGTGTTGAAAAGTGTATATGTTATTCAGAATCAGCATTGCTGTGACTAGATACCTGAGAAAGGATATGTTTTCGTCAAAGATTTTGCAGAAGATTCAGCCCTTGGTCACATGGGCAGATCACACTGTGAGCAGGAGCACATGGTGGAAGAGATGCAGACAGGGAGCAGAGAATGAGAGAGGACTGGGTTCTAGGTATAACCTTGAAATCCATGCTCCTACTTCTTCCAGTGATGCCCCACCTCAAGTTTCCAGAATTTCCCAAAACAGCACCTCCAGCTGGTTTAACACATGAGCCTGTGTGAGCCATTTTATAGTCACACCATAGCCTAGGAACATGATTTGCTAGATTAGAAAACAAAAACTTGTTTTGTTGTTGTTGTTCAGTTTAAGTACATTGTAGAATATTTTAGCTCCAGAAAATAGAAGTTTCTGGTGTAGAAACCTAAAATCTCAGATACCTCAAAACTGAAACTGAGAGCCAATGTGACAGTCCTAAGTTTTGCATTTTGGGTTATTGTGTATCTTCAAGTTAGGTATGTCTGTAAAAATATTTTAAGATAAAAAAAAATAATTTCTGAGCAATTGTGGCCTCTGGTCTTTAGAATCAAGGATATTGTATCTGTACCTAGTGCTTAGTTGAGTATATGTTTAATGTAAACCAAAAGAATAGTGCATTCCTTTAGAATTTGTTACTATTGGTCTTATTAGTAGCATTGATCTGTCAGGTATCTTTGTGTAGTTGAGTTAGTAGGGTGATTGGGTGTTTGTATTTGGGTTTTCAGTGAAGTTTGTTGTTTTAGACAAGATCTCTTAACTGGGTAATTCAGACTTGCCTGGAACTTGAAATGTAGGCTGGCCTCAAACTTGAAATCCTCCTGCCTTTGTATGGAGTCTGGCTATATACCACTGCATCCAATGATATATCACTAATTTTACTGGGATTTTACATTATAGTCCAATAATGGAGAACTGTGTAGTGACTTGGCAGCCTGACTCTTTATTACCCTCACTCTCAGTATTCCCAGTGTCACTTAGCTTTCTTGTCAACCTTGGGAAATACTGGGGTGGCTTTCCTTGGTTGTCAACTTGATACACCTTGGAAGAGGGACCTGCTACTGGGAAATAGTTTCTGCCAGATTATCCTAAGGACATGTCTGTAGGGCATTTTCTTGCTTGCTAATTGATGGAGGCGGGCATAGCCCACAGTAGGTTGTATAAGGAATCTACCTGATCAGCAGTAGGAAGGAAGCTAGGAAAGCAGCGTCCTTCCATGATCTCTGCTTCAGTTTCTGCCTCTGAGTTCCAGCCTTGAGCTCCTGCCCTGGCTTCGGTAGATGATGGACTGTAAACTGTAGGCTAAAGGAAGCCCTTTTCTTTCTATGTTGTATTGGTCAGTGTTTATAACAGGAACAGAAACCAGACTTCAACAATCAGCAAAAGGCCTTAAAGAGAAATTAGCTGTAATTTTAGAGAAGATCATCCTGAGCTTCCTTTTACCTATAGCTTTCAACATGTTATGTTAACAATCCAGTGTTTTCAAACTGATGTTTTCACTTTATGCAGCTTTTAACTTGTCTACAGAAGGAAGATTTGTCTGGATTAGGTATATCTATTTTACTAGCAGAAGTTCTCTACTTTTCAACTTGAAAAATGTTTACATTTCATTATATTGACCATATTCTTTCCCCACCTCCAACTTCTCCTAGATCCCGTCCACCTCACTACCCTCACAACTTCATGTTCTTGGTCTTGCCTAATCTCAGGAGCTAAGCAGGGCTAGGCCTTTTATTAGTGTTTGGGTGGGAGCTCCCTACATTTTTACGCTAAGGTGACAGGAGGTAGGTACATTATTTTTAAATTTCTCTTCATTTCATTCTCCTCTCTCCTTACTCTCAAAAAGGTATATATACATATGTTAGTCTATTTTCTTTTAAAGAAGCACTAGCAATACTTAAAATATATTTTCATCTCTTGCACTTGATTTTTTTCTTTATAATGAAGATGTTGGAAAGAAGTGGGGTTTTAGCACCAAGACTGAGAACCACCAACCACCTGCTATTAGATGCTTATTGTTCTGTGTTTTAAAATCCATACCTCACATGTAATGTACTTATACAGACTGTATTTGTCAGCAATAAAGTAAAACATTTATTTGGCTATTCTTTTTCATGATGCTGCAAAGGGAAAGGCTAATATTGTATTTTACAAATATGTACTATCTTTTAGAAAAATATCAGCGTAGGTTTTGTATTCGCCGTGTTTTTCTCAGTTTCTTTTGATATTTCATTTAGCTGATTTCATCTATTAATTAATCACATCTTATTTCATGAGTAGTATATGTTGTGTTCATTATGTACAGAGTCAAAGGACAGAAGGAAAGCTGCCTTGACTTACAACTCTTGTTGTTCTTGATCATAGATGTATTTAATTATGTTCGTGGGGAGGAACATACAGTATA